ACCTCTACCTCCAGGTTCAAGCAAGTCTCCTGCCTCAGCCTCCTGGGTAGATGGAATTATAGGCATCCACCACCATACCCGGCTAATTTTTGTATTTTTAGTAGAGACAAGGTTTCACCGTGTTGGCCAGGCTGGTCTCGAACTCCTGACCTCAGGTGATCTACCCACTTTGACCTTCCAAAGTGCTGGGATTATAGTCAGGAGCCACTGTGCCCGGCCTATAGCTGGCTTCTTTACTGCAACCTGCTTTATCAGCAAGGTCTTTATGATCTGTATCTTGGCCGACCTCCTATCTTATCCTGTAACAGAATGCCTACCCCTCTGGGAATGCAGCGCAGCAGGTCTCAGCCTTCATTTATCCAGTCCCTATTCAAGATGGAGTTGCTCTGGTTCAAACACCTCTGACAGTTCTTGGTCTTTCGAAGGACACAGGAGCACTTCCCTTTGATCATATCATGATGCTTTTTTACCTTCCATCTTCTTGCCCAAGGTCCCCAGTAAAGCCCCCAAAGCCCCAGTGCAGCCCAAAGACTGGTCCCTGCCGCTGTGGACACTGGCCCTTCCCAGTGGGGTAGGGAAAGGGGACTTGTGTTCCTCTGATCATTTCTTTACCTTTCTTGCTTTCTCCTGGCAGGTTTTCCAACGCATTCTCTTACTATGGGTTAGTTCTACTCACCACAGAACTCTTCCAGGCAGGAGATGTCTGCAGCAGTGAGTATCTTGGTTGTCTCTGCCAGCTAACTACTCCCATACCCTCGGTACATACGCAGCCATGCACACGCTCCCACCCCAGGCTCTGCCCTTAAGGGACTGGGCCTTACTACTTCTGTGGTTTCCAAGGCACTCTGTAGAAACCTGGACAGTCTTGTCGTGATGGAGCTAACCTTAACGGGGCCACATCTTATGTCAGGGTTTGGGCTCTGAAGTTCGCACTGTTCAAAGATAAACCAAGGCACATTCAAGAAAAACAGACGCAAATTTGAAAAGTGTATCTGAGCAGAGAGCAATTCATGAATCAGTAGAAAAGCGCTGAAGAGAACAGAAACAGGGAACACAAAGCAGATGGGTTGTTTCAAAGTGACTTTCCTTATAGGATTAAAATAGAGCAGATTTTCTTGGCATGCCAACTCAGATAAACAAGATCCCTTCACATGGGGTGCTGTGACTCTTCCTTTTAAAAATTATTATTTTATTTGTTATTATTATTTTATTTGTTATTTTTGATGGAATCTCACTCTGTTACCCAGGCTGGAGTGCAGTGGTGGGATCTCAGCTCACTGCAGCCTGCACCTCCTGGGTTCAAGCAATCTTCCTGCCTCAGTCTCCCAAGTAGGTGGGATTACAGGTGGTGCTACCACCTGTAATCAAATCAAAATTGTAATACAAATTTTTGTATTTTTTTTTTAGCAGAGATGGGGCTTCACCACATTGGCCAGGCTGATCTCAATCTCCTGACCTCAGGTGATCTGCCTGGCTTGGTTTTCAAAGTGCTGGGGTTACAGGTGTGAGTGAGCCACAGCGCCTGGCCTATTATTATTATTTTTGAGAGAGGGTCTCATTCTGTCACCCAGGCTGGAGTGCAGTGGCACAATCATGGCTCACCGCAGCCTCCACCTCCCGGGCTCAAGAGATCCTCCCACCTCAGCCCCCAAAGTAGTTGGGACTACAGGCGCAAAAAGAAACAGCATGTTAGTTAAAGTTATTTATTTGTTTATTCATAGAAAAGAGGCTGAAAGGTTGCAGGCCAGGTGGCTCACGCCTGTTTAATTCCAGCACTTTAGGAGGCTGAGGCAGGTAGACCACATGAAGCCAGGAGTTTGAGACAAGCCTGGTCAACATGACAAAACCCCATCTACACTAAAAATACAATAATTAGCTGGGCGTGGTGGTGCGCACCTACAATCCCGGCTGCTCGGGAGGCTGAGGCAGGAGAATCGCTTGAACTTGGGAGGTGGAGGTTGCAGTGAGTAGAGATTGTGCCACTACACTCCAGCCTGGGTGACAGAGTGAGGTTCTATTGCAAAAAAAAAATAGAAATATATTTGGGGGTAAAATATTTTGATTTCCTTCAGGGTCTGCTATCTGTCGAGTGATGCTCTACTAGAGTCAAGTTGGAGTTTGGTATCTTGTTGCCTGGAAGAGTCTGTTTTGTCAGTCTTATGATCTTTGTTTTAATGTTACTGCTGGCAGTTGCCTAAACTCCGAAAGGGAGGGGGTAGAAGACGGAGGTGTGTCTGAGCCCCTTCCCATCATGGCCAGAGTTCAGTTTTTCAGGTTTCTCTGGGGTCCCCTTGGCCAAAAAGGGATCTGTTCAGTAGACTGGGAGCTTAGGATTTCATTTTTGGTTTGCAGTTAAGTTACTCTGAGCTGATTTCAGTTTGCTCACCTAGGACCCCACAACACTGGAGCCATCTGACTACAGGCCTCTCAGTTAATTTTTTCTAATAGCATTTTTTTTTTTTTTTTTTTTTTTTTTTTTTTTCAAGACAGGTTCTTGCTCTGTTACCCAGGCTAGAGAACAGTGGTGTGATCATAGCTCACTGCAGCCTTGACCTCCCAGGTCTAAGAGCATTTTAAGGTGAAAATTCAATATAGGTTAAAATTATGGAGCGAGACTCCCAGCACTTTGGGAGACAGAGGCAGGAGGATCACTTGAGACCAGAAGTTCAAGAACAGCCTGGACAACATGGCAAGACCCTGTCTCTACAAAAAATTTAAAAAATTATCTGGGCATGGCAGCATGTGCCTGTAGTCCTAGCTACTAGTTGGGAGGCTGAGGCAGAAGGATAGCCTGAGCCCAGGAGTTCCAAGCTGCAATGAGCCATGATTGCACCTCAGCAATCCAGCCTGGGTGACAGAGTGAGACTCTGTGTAAAAAAATAAAAATAGGCTGGGTGCAGTGACTCACACCTGTAATCCCAGCACTTTGGGAGACAGAGGCGGGCAGATCACGAGGTCAAGAGATTGAGACCATCCAGTTCAACGTGGTGAAACCCTGTCTCTACTAAAAATACAAAAATTAGCTGGGTGTGGTGGCAGACACCTATAGTCCCAGCTACTCGAGGCTAAGGCAGGAGGATCACTTGAACCCAGGAGGGGGAGGTTGCAGTGAGCCGAGATCATGCCACTGCACACCAGCCTGAGTGACAGAGCAAGTCTCCATCTCAAAATAATAAATAAATAAAAAAAATGATCATCGCGAATCCCCTAAAGAGCCCTCACGAAGCATAGTACTCAGAGCTTTATGGATATGATCCTGTGCAATAATTCTCATGTGCACGTTAAGTTTGAGGACCAAGTTGGCTCTCCACCATGGCCACGTAACAACACCACCTGGGAAGCTTTTAAACAATACCCAGACCCATTTAATCAGGACTTGTGAGTGCAGGTGGAACCCAAGCATTAGCAAATTTTAAAAGCTCCCCAGATGATTCTCTTGTGCAGCTGGACAAGAGAAAAGCTAATGCAAAGGAAAGTCTCTATGCTTTTTTATGCCTGTGCTTTTAAGCCATTTTGACTTTTAAGATAACAGTAAATTCTCAGCATTGAACTCAGAGTTGGAGGATAAAAGAATCAAGTTCCTGCTTGTGTTAGGGGTTCACCCAATTATCTTTTTCATATTAAGGCTCTATAATCATAGTTAATTGTTCTGTTTATTGGTATAAGGATTGAGTGAGGTAGTGGAGTCCCATCTCACTGCGGGGATGTGGGGGAGTCTGTGTTCAATGCTCTGCTGATGTACCTCTATTGTAGAGTCAGACACAGGGTTTGGTATTGACTGAGCATAGATTGCATCTCCTAAGAGTAGAATGCTTAAGCTAAGCATCCTAAGGCTTAATTAAGCTAAGGATACTGGGGAATGTGGTAAAACAGGGGTTAGCAACCTTTTTCTATAAAAGATCAGGTAGTACATATTTTAGGCTTTGTAAGCCAGTTGTTTGTAGCAGGACAATGGTGGATGGTATGTTGTTAAATTAGGTCCAGCCTAAAGTTGTCTCCTTACATATTTTAAGTACAGCCTAAAGATTTATCCATACATAGTGAACTGAAACCTAACTGGATGTGTGAACAGACTGTAACCTACTCTTGTGCCAGTCACTGATTTCAGCCACTCAAAAGCAGTCAACTGGCCGGGCATGGTGGCTCACACCTGTAATTCCAGCACTTTGGGAGCCAATAGGGGAGGATCACCTGAGGTCAGGAGTTCAAGACCAGCCTGACCAACATGGTGAAACCCCATCTCTACTAAAAATACAAAAATTAGCCAGGTGTGGTGGCTCGTGCCTGTAGTCCCAGCCACTCAGGAGGCTAAGCCAGCAGGATCACTTGAACTGGGGGAGGCAGAGGCTGCAGTGAGCCGAGATGGCGCCACTACCTGGCATGTAGCTTTGTTGCCAGCCTGGCAACAGAGTAAGACTCTGTCTCAAAAAAAAAAAAAAAAAAGGCAGTCAACTGTTCAAATCCTGCTCAAATAAGACAAGTACTGAGCTGTAACCTGTCCGGCTGTTTCTATACCTCACTTCCATGTTCTGTCACTTTCCTGTTTCTGTCCGTAAATCCTTGATCACTTGCAGCACCAGTCTGTCTGAACTTATTCTGGCTTATGGGCTGCCTGATTCACAATTTACTCTTGTTCAATTAAACTCTGCTACATTTAATTTGTCCAAGGTTTTTCTTTTAACAATATAAATGAATGAGCATTGCTTGCATTTCAATACAACCTTGTTATTAACACAAATTTGAATTTTGCATCATTTTTATGCCTCACGATTTCTTCTTTTAATTTCTAAAAATCATCTGAAAAAAAGCATTTTTAGCACATAGGTCAGGCACAAACAGGCAAGGGACCAGATTTGGCTGGAGTTTGACAACTGCTGTTGAAAAGTTCTATCTTATTCCTGGGTGGGAGAGTTAAGCTACAGAACAAGCCCACAGCTGGAAATTAGGAGACCTGGGTTCCAGCACCAAGTACCTGTGTGACTTCGGGCAAGTCATTTATTTAATATGTATTTTCTACATGCCAGGTACTGGTCTATGTGTCAGTGTCCAGGAAAGCCAGAGCTGGACAGAAATGAAAGCAGTGAAGGAAAATTTCATTTAGTAGCAATTGCAATAGGAAAAGAGAGACCTCAGTATAGAACTGGGTTCCTTTCTGTATGCATAAGTATTCAAAGTGGGGATTTATAGCCAGGGAGCAGGGTGGAGGAGTCAGTGTATAGAAAATTACTAAGAGGAAATGCCAAGGATAAGATGATTTCTGGTTAAACCGACTTGATAAAATTATTGCTGGGCCAGGCTCACACCTGTAATCCCAGCACTTTGGGAGGCAAAGGTGGGTGGATTGCTTATACTCAGGGGTTCGAGACCTGCCTGGGCAACATAGTGAGACCCCATCTCTACAAAATGTGGAAAAAATTAGCATGCTTGTGGTCCCAGCTGCCCAGGAGGCTGAGGCAGAAGGATCACCTGGGTCCAGGGAAGTCAATGCTGCAGTGAGCTCTGATCACACCACTGCATTCCAGCCTGGGCAACAAAGCAAGGCTCTGTCTCTAAAAATATAAATAATAAATAAATAAATAAAAAGATTGTTGCTGAAGGCAAGTATAGGGGAGGAAGCATATCTTTCCTTCTACTCTTGCTGGTTTTATGACTCAGGCCCCTATGATAAAAGACAGATTAAGAAGACAAAAGCATATGAACTTATTTAATCT